CCACCGGGATTTCGAGAATGTTTACAAGTATGTGTTTTTCTTAGACTTCTAATTCAATAGATCGTCTTCACGTGACGCGTTTTTATCCTCATCAGCCATAAGAGGCGGCATATTTATATCTGTTTACAATTAGCGTGCTTCGTTTGGAAACCAGAGCATTTTGAATTTCATGGTTTTGGAGGTTGCTTGACACAAGGCTATGATCGAGTTTGTTGAAAAATATATACTTATCTGGTGATTTTGAGCCTTTTTAGAAGTTAGAGCATTAGGAAAAGTGCTTATATAAATGCTTGTTTGTTTAGTACTGATAATCAGCCGCCTAGAAAGCCAAAGTAAGTTCCAGATGTTTAATTTACACTATATTCCGGCCGCCATATTGGTGTACCACGGATGTATACGAACATGGCGTTTTCTTACTGGGCTCTGTAAATTTCTGGGAAACATTTACAACGAATTTCTGAAGTTTGGGGAAACGCACAGGCCTAAAACTTGGAGAAGTGTCTTATTTAGTTATCTTCTATAGCGTACATCACAATTTCTTAGCTTTTTCCATTGGTTGGTTTTCGTGTTATTATTATTTTTTATTACGTGACAGTGAAAACGATCTGTACTGACCGTTCGAAGAACAAAACAGCAACTGTGGAATATTTTTTGGTAAAATGATAAAACATGTTTTTTAGTTCATAATTTTTGTACATGTTTTCACCTTCCTCTGATACGAATCCATGCCATTCCTTACTTTTTGATCGGGATCATTTGCGATCCAATATGGCATCATTTCCGGTCCGGGATCATGTGCGGTTCAATTTGGGGATCATTAGAGGTCCGGGATCATTTGCGGTCCTGGGATCATTTGCGGACCCGTACAAATATGTGTGCGAAGACATTGATGGGGGGATCATGAAATTTATTAATAGCTATGAGGGGGATACTTTAATGAAATAACATTTAAATGGGGGATCAGCTAAATGTTACTTTCCAAAAATCCGAAAATTGTCCGCCTTAAAGTCAGAAATTTTAGCAGTTTTCAATAGTTTCTGTGCAACATTGCAGCACCTGCTTTCTGAGAAAACCCCAAACCGTCCGTTGTACGTGGCCTACTTTAGTTAATTAGTTCCGTGTAAACAGCTTCTCTAATAACTGCGGTTTAGTTACGAAACCTCGGTAAGCAGTAACCGTCGTAAGCCTCTCTCGTGAAAACACGGCAAAAGTCGACCGAAAGTACTAACTACAGTTAGGTATGACGTCACGTAACCTGACACTAACCTAAGTTAAACTTTAGTTACCTTCGTAGATGTGACTGCAGCCACTGTGGTAGATGTATTCGACCATTACGTTCGTGCAGAAGCATATCACTTAGGTGATATGCTTCTGGTTCGAGTTAGTAGTGTTTGTAAATGAGCTTAAGGAAACATTTTCTTTTGGTTTAAGTGCTTTTTAACTTTTATTGCGCAAATTTCCAACGGTTTTCCATTGGTAAACCATTTACATAGGAAAGTTAATTAATTTATTCCATTTTTAACGCTTTATTATTAATATGACATAAAGTTCAAACGCGTGATAAAACAAGTGGTCTCATGTAATTTTGTCTGCTGAACAGCATGCTGTTAACAGAATGCTTCAAACACGTAAGTGTGATATAAGAACGATCAGGTAACTTACAATTCCGTAAAAAAAATTTGGTTTTGGGTTTCCAGAAACCACTACAGTGTACCAGGAGCCCAATAGGCTCCCGAGTGTAACCTTTTCACGTCTTATTAGGCCTCACGTGCAACGTGACTCCTCTAAATCAATCTTGCGTCCCCAATCGCAGTAAATAATGTACTGCTTAAGACCTGGTAATGTAGAAATCGAAATTTTCGTTGAATTGGGTGAATCTGGTTAGTCTCCACCAACGTTAAATACGTTATATGGGTTTTTAAAGTCAAGCCTCGTTTCCATGCTGTCATGGTTACATGACCAGCTGTATATTACTTAGGTGTGTCAGGTACACTTGAATGTTTCGTATGAGTAATTCTGATAACAATGTGTTGCCCTAAAGATGGTTTTGAGGTATTTAAAGGTCCAGCCTCGTTTCCATGCTGGGACATAAAAACGTCACATTTTGAACCCACCGTAGTGGCCGTCTGTACAAGTTACAGAATTGCCGACAACATTTTCCTTAGAGTCCCCTTAACACATCTGGACAGGTGGCTTGCTTTTTCCACAAAATTCCCAGGCAACTTTAAATCTTGACTTATGCTCCCGCACTATTATGTCAATTATCGGGTGGAAGCCACGCAAATAAATTTCTTCCGTGCTAGCGAAACAAGGAAATTCTACTCACGATCAGCGCTTGACCTAATGTTCTTCGCTCCGTTCGTAGCCATGTTTTGCTCACAAATAGCAATGTCCCGGATGTACTTGAATTTTATCGAGCGGGAAATGCCATGTCCAGACTTCAAGTCTTTAGCGACATCAAAGTTCAGACCAAATAACGCCAGCAGCAGCTAGAAATGTCTAGTTCATTGCACGTCTAAGCCCTAAATTGATGTGGCAAGAAGTTCTCTGCATTTCATGCTAGGTAAGATTTACAAGCTGCTGGCAGAGCAAAAGCAAATAAATAAATAAATAAATAAACAAATAAGAATAAATTAATTAACTGACTAAAAACGCTTGATTCAGTCTTTAACACTGTTTTCATAAATCCAGACATACATGTTTATCAATAAACATCCGCGATGAAATATTGCCCAAGATCATTTAAAATTCGTTTAAACTTAAGAAAACGAAGACGTTTTCACCTTGACGGAACGTAAACGTCATTGTCATGTCAAGTTAAATGTCAGTAAAATAAAATGTGTAAGTACTGAAAATGAACAATTGGTCTTTAATTAAGAAAGGTGAAGTACAAAATATGTTACGTTAAACAAAGAGTTTCGCACGTATGGAGTCCGTCTGCGTATTTAAAGAGGGTCCCCTATACCTCTTCTGAAAACATCACGCATAAGTAATTGGCCTTTTCACGCATCACGAAAAATTCGAAAAACAGCTTCACGTTCAAAGAAAAAAGCAAGCAATCACGTTTCACGTAAAAATGCAAAGGCTAAATCATGTTTCACATAAAAAATACAAAATTCTATTCACATTTCGCAAAACATACAATTACATTTAAACATTTTACCTGACATTACTGAAATGTGCCGAAGTAGATATAGTTGCTCATGGCCATCTTTTGGTAATTTCAGACTTTGTTCTCGTCGGTCAGCATGTCTAGATCTTTTGTGGCTTGGGTAATCGATAAAACCGTTTGTGGTAGAGCGTAGGATGACTATCCGCTACTGTAGTTCTGCTAGATCAGTTGATTCCACTCGTTTCGACTTCCACCTTAATCTCGACATACATATTAACACTTTGTTGATATATTTTCGTAAATATATCGAAGCGATGGTTGAGCAGACATCAGTAAAAGCCGGATGGAGTGTGGGCAGGTTTTACATTTAGTTTGGGGTAGTCTACGAGTTTAATGACGCTAAAATCTCCAGAAAAGTGACAAAGTTTTTGGTCCACAAATCACACGTAAGTAAATGCATATTTTACGGATCACGAAAACATCGAAAACCAATTTCACGAGGACAGAAAAATATAAATTCACGAATCACGGAAAAAATAGATCCTCATTCACTCTTCACGCAAAGCAAAAATGCCCATTCACGCTCACGAAAAAAGTGTAGTGGACCCTCATTATTTCTAGACTCTCGACAAGAAATTGTTTTATATTTAGAAAATGTATAGCACAAAGTATAAGGAAATCAATTTTATCATAGCGTCAATCGTCTTCTTTATTATGAGGAAACTTAAGTACAAAGTACAGCGCTTTCCGGTTCAAGGCTGAAACAAAGGCAAATATCCAGAATATCATAAACTACAAAACTGGAATAGTTCATCATAAGAGACAAATTTCACACGAACTAATACAAACAATAGCTGCAATAGGATAAATATACCTGCTAATCACAGGCATGTTTCGCCATCACGAGAACGTAAGGGAAACGCTAAACCAACGCCTTGGCGCATCCGACATTTGGCGTTCGGAAAAAACACACCTGTCGCGCTTAGAGACTCTAGCCGCCATGAACGTCATGAACCGTTGAATGTGAATGAATATATCCCGTAAATGTTAATGAATATAATCGTGAATAAGAAATACGTCGTTAAATGTGAATAAATATATTTAATTGATGAAAACGTAGTTGTTGAATGTGACTAATTATGATATTTGCAATTTTGGGGTCACGGGGAGAATATTAGGGAATTTTACATGACGTTAGTGTTTTTATTGTTAATGTTTGTGGGCGCTGAAAGTTGGGAGCAGCCCAGTCCTCGCCGTGTCCTCGCCCAGTCCATCAGCTTGTGCATCTTTTGAATATTTGCGGAATTCCGTGGAAGAGAACAGTGGATTTTAGGTGTGCCATCTATTTGTAAGTACACAATTTATTCTGTTGTCTCCATCAGTTTGTCTAACTATGGTTTTCTTTATTTAGAAATTTATTTCGTCTGTTTTTTGTGAAGTTTGGTTTCTTTCCATTTTGATGATAAGCTTACGCTTTAAAATTATATGGAAGTGACTTGAATGCAAGCTTAATCTTTTCTGTAGAAGGAAAATTTTTATCCTATTCCGGAGCGCGTCTGAGTATGCTCAGTTTTCTTCTGCGATTTACAGTTAAACCTGACCGGCAGCTTAAGTACACTGCAAGGTTTCCCGGCGCTTTATTCATGCCAGGTAAAAGAACTCGACTGTTACGTTTAATAATTACGAAAGTTCGAAAGGGCTGTGATATTAACTACTGAGAAAATTCTTTCTTACTGGGGAAGAAGTGAACGCTATGGTGTATATGTGTGTGTTTAGCAGCTAAAGTAGGAAATATATAATGATCAGTCAGGCTGGAGGTTAATGATCAGCGCCTCACATGCTGTGCTGCACTTGCTTATGTATGCAAACTCAGTCAGTGGTAGTTCAGCTCAATCGTGGTAGTTGTAAGTGTTACTGAGCAGCATGTGAATTAAGATGTATTTTTATTGAGCACTCCTACGATTGTGTGAAACCACTTCTGTTTTTCTTCTCTTATTTTTCTTTGTTGATACATTTTCATATTTGTTTTGTTTACAAAGACCTGTTACCAGTTGATGTTTTCAAAATAATTACAGTCAAACCTCCAGTTGCGACCACCTCTCGTAAGTGACCATCTCTCCTCAGCGACCAGTTTTCCAGAATACCAAAAGTTTCTGAGTGACCACCTCTTGTAAGCAACCGAAACCACTTTTAGAACTAAAAGTTTGAAATTTTCTTTTGTTGTTAACCTCTCGTAAGTAACCACTTGACAGATAATAGAGTAGAAGTTGGATAATAAGGTGTTGTAACTTTATTGCATTCCTGGGTAATACAGGAGATGCAAATTTCTCAACAGGAAGTACAGCATTTTTCTTGAAATTGACTTTTCACATGAATATAACATTTAAAACATGGGGTAAGTCTGTTCAGTTACCCTATGCTAATGAGGCAAAATTTTCACCCAATATGGTCTAAGCTCTCGTAAGCAACCACCTCCGTTAAGCGACTAGATAGGCTTGACATTTTTGGGCGGTCACTTATGAGAGGTTTAAAGGTAGGTTTTTTTGTGTAAGCGTGACAAATTTGCATGAAAGTGTGACTTTATCAACAAGTGTGTTACTTAAGCATATTTTATTTTGAAGTTTAATTTTTAAGTGACACTTGAGGAGGAACTTAATAATAAATTACAATACTTAGAGAGGAAGCCATATCAGCCTTAGCCGTACAAAACTTGTCTATGTCGAAATTTTATTAGAACAGTGTTGACAGAAGGGATTTAATGTCAATTCGTAGTGGGTAAATGATGAAAAAAATCTAACGACTGAATTTTTTTTAAAGAAGCAAAAACCATTTTTTAAGCCTTGTTTTTACCCAGCCCATTGCCATGGCAACAGCACACACCTTAGCCAAAATGCGAGAATAAACCCTTCTGTGGTTAACCTTGACTCTTGCAAAAAATGGGTGCCAAAGCATTAAATAGTTTAAAAGTAATGGTGAATTAGGCATAGGCATGTGAAAACTGTGTTCGGCCACCTTAAACGATGGACTTTTACACATTTTCCGAAAGGTCTTAAAAAGTGCCTCTTCAATGTGGTTAATTTTGCTGAGGGTGACATAATTTGATATCCATATGATGTCACAGCAAAAGAGTAAAAGTTGTTTCTGGTGTGCTGGGAGTTTGACTCAATCTCTTAAAATTTTGACATACATCAGTACATCATATAGGCACCTGAGGGGCAAAAATCATGATGTACTAAGAGCTTAATTGTCCAATGTTACATTTTATGTGAAATTCAGTGAATTTTGTTCAAACTAGAGGTCTGTAATAAAACAAGTAATTAAGACATGCTTTGTATTTAGTCATTTGAAATATGTCTTTTTCTTTTTCTCATTATAGATTCTGGTTTGAAAAGTCATTTCAGCCAATGGCCAATACACATGTCATTAAACGGATCTTTTGTCTTGTACTCTTTTGGTTTGCCCGTGTTAGTACAAGCAGAGGCAGTTACCCAGAGTTAAAAGTCCAAGAATTGCTGGTTAACTTGGTTTATGATAATATAACAAATAATATTTTTATTGGAGGTGAAAATGTACTGTTGAAGACATCATCAAGTTTGGTGGAGCTTAGGAAAAACATAACTGGTCCCAAACTAGATTACATAGATTGCATCATTGACACAGAGTGCCCTGGCAAAGTTGCAAACAATAGAAACAAAGTGTTGCTGATAGACAACAAGAAGAGACGTCTGATAACATGTGGCAGTCTCCAACATGGCATCTGTAATATGAGAAGTCTTGATACCTTAGAAACACTAACAAATAGTGATAAATTTGTTGTGTCAAATGCTGCCTTTCCAGCAGTAGCATTGATTACACCATGGGGAAACACGCCAGGAACCTTTGCCATGTATGTTGCAACGTCATGGGATGCAAAATATCAGTTGTCAGATTTGACATTGATTGGAATCAGACCTGCTGTATCCACTCGTATTATTGATGGTCCTGAAATCTTTGCCTTTGCTGAAGAAAGTGTTAAGCAGAGTTTTTTACAGTTTCAAAAACTCAAGTATGAAGCAAAGTACATTTACGGATTTTCATCTGGTGGTTTTACTTACTTTGTGTCCGTGCAAGAGACTACTAAATCCTTTGAAAACAAAGAAAACCCAAAAGTGCTGAGAACATTTGTAATACGTCTTTGCCAAAAGGATACAGCATATTTGTCATACATAGAGCTACCACTGGAATGCCAAGGAGCCAATGGAACAAATTTCAATATGGCAAATTCATCTTATCTTACAAAAGCTGGAGATGGCTTTGGGCCTCATGCATCTGATGATGTACTGGTTATTACATTTTTTGAGTCTGCTAAAGGTTGGGATGGACCCACCAAATATTCTGCTATATGTATGTATCCAGTGAAAGAAATCAATGAAGCTATGATGTCTAACCTCAGGAATTGTACTAATAACGTTAATGCTGGTGAGAAATTTGGGCTTCCTTGGGTACTTAATGGAGACAAAAAATGTGCTGAACAGGTAAAAAATGTATAATGTTATCATACTTAACTGTGTATTCATTTAATGATTGCTTTATTGTCTCTTGGTGAGGCATGGAAAATTGTATGTTCTAGGGTTATGCTATAAGCACTTACCTCACGGGGAGATGTGATTTTCTGCAGTGCAAGGGAAGGAGGAGACACCTACTCCAATGGTTTGGGGACAGGTATTGCTTGAATCAGTCTACAAGGGATTCTGAGAACCATGTCTTCCTGTCAGGTAGTTGCTTACCCTCCAGGGAAATATCATTTCTTCTTCACCCCTCTCTGACTGATATTCGCAATATTGGTGCAGAATTACGAAGCAATACTGCCAAGCAAAAGGGACAAGCCAGAATGATAACTAGAAACGTGCCATCCATAAGACCCTTGTCAATAATCAATAGACAGATTGGCTTGAAATGGCTTTGTGTGGAGAAATAAAGGACAAAGGTAGTTGAGAGGATTTACTTAAGTGTTATTGTCAGAGAAAACCAGGCAGGACCAAAAGATTGAGGTTGACAGTTTACCTTCACCTTTTCACAGTGTGAAAGCTGGTCACAGCTGTGGCGTTTGCCGCGGTAGGTGTTTGTTTCTCTTTGAAATATCACCACCTCATGATTTAGGCCTCTCAAGCGGCCTAAAATGGCTGAAATTTTGGGAACTTTAGGTGAGCGTAAAAGATACTTTGTACAAATTCCAGAAACTCTTATTTCTGTGCGATAATATTTGTCCCCTTATCAGTTGACTGAGACCTATTAGAGGTCTTTGGCCTTAATTCTACGCTTTTCATGAGGTGCTAAATATCGCCGCCAAATTGTTAACGTGTGAACAAAATTTTAGCCATTTTCAGCGAGTTGTTTCTCAATAGTGCAGCAGTTTACTTCCACAGAAATACATTTTTCTGATAGTCTTTTACACTGTTACATGTATCACTATCCAGTTTATTTGAAATTGGTATCCTACAGTGTACAGGCAAATTGGAGCAACTGCTCTCACAAAGTCCAACAGGGTCCGAAATTAACTTTTTTAGGCAGGCGCCAACTGGTGACTGAAATTTTTTTTTCAGTCGCCATATGGAAAAATTTGGTCGCCAAAAAGTGTCAATAAAATTTTCCTTCACAGCGAAACGCAAACCAAAATTTTTGGTTGCCAGATGGAAAATTCGGCTCGCCAATTTTTCTTTTAAGAATCAGAATGAGGAGAACATGTTTGGTGCTGCAATGATGGCGATTTTTCCACTAACGATAAGATTAAATATAAACATGCTGATTATTTATACACCTACCACTGAAAACCCACAACGAACGAATCGAATGCCGGTCATATACGCAGTCTCGTACGACAGCCAAATGTTTCAAGTCAATTTTATACCTTCTCTTGTCTCTACCTTTTGGAGAAGAAACGTACCCGACTGAAAACTGCCGTTTGGTTCTTTGCTCAATGTGCAAAACGATCTTTCCTTTCCTGTTCTGTCAAGACGATCGACGGATTGCCATGTTGAATATTGAAATCTTCCACTAATTTCTTCGCGGATGTTCCGTCTCCACTTTGTAATAAATTACGGAAAGAGTTCAGGACATTTTTGGACACCACATTGCCTGAATAAATATTCATGGCGAAAGAACGCACGTGGCCGTCTGCGCCTGCAATACGTATGTTATGGGAAACCGCTGGAAAAACATGGCGGCGAAGCTTCTCACTGATCATAGCTGTGAAACGTTGTGGTAGAGTTATAATGATAGGAAAATCGGTTTTATACTTCAAAAGCAGCAGAAAGGTAAAAAGTAAGTGACCAATTGGTGGGCAGCTTTGAATTTTATTTTAATCGATTTGGCTGAAAATCTAAGTGTGTGTAATTATCGTGGCTTGAAATGGTTAATCGCCCGCTGGCGACCAGCTGTGAAATTCTGGTCGCCAGTGCAAAATTTTTAGTCGCATTGGCAACCAGGAAAGCGCAATTTCAGACCCTGTCCAATAAAATCATCAGTCAAATGAAAAATTCCAGCCAAATGTTTAGCAAAGAATATCACTTTATTCCAACTGTCTGCGATTGTCATCCATGAGTGACTGAAAGATCTGCTTAAAAAAGTCAGTTGGAATGCAGGATAGAATGTTTGAGCTGTGACATTGTTATTAACCTATGTAAACATTTCAAACTCACCAAATACTTGCCATTATTTTTGCTGAATTTTTAATGTCGCGCTACATGGAAAAACAAAATGGATGCTCAGTTCACTGGTCTTTTTGCTGTTGTGTTGAACAAACTGCATGTTAATAGTGAGTGAAGCTTTACCCTTAATTAAATTTTGGGACTTCTGGAAACCCTTTTCATCAATTTCTCGTTTTCCGAGGCATATTAGACTTGATTTCCGCTGCCCTCTCTTGTCCCGTCTACGTTCCTCCCAGAAGGGAGGCTGGACGCGTGAGCGGCAAACCATGTCTGTGATGTAAATTCATAATTTAATTTATGCCGTGCTCCTGGTTGCCAGAAATGTTATCTGATTACAACCTGGACAGGTCCACATGACACCTAAGACTCGAAATATTTGTACATTTGCTGTTCTCTTTTTTAAAATTTTGTTTTGCCAATCTAATTTGTTTCACATTGTTGCTGCAGTAAAGGGTTGTATGCATGGATACTGTGTTCTAGGGAAGAGTTTGTTTTTGAGTAGAGCAGCGCTGTTCGACTGTGGTTTAGCAAACTGGTCATGCATGTCAAGATCTGTCAAAGGTGACATGTTGGTCAGCATGGTTTCTGCTGTTAAGATGATACCTTGAAATTTGTATACCTGGCTTGTGATGTATGTTTAACTAGTTCGGTTGGCTTTACATGTGATTTAGCTCATTTAAAAAATTGATTTTGCCCTACTTTACCAGCGATTGGTGTCGCTATCCTTAAAGAGGGTAATACGTCCATTTGACTGACTTTTGTCTCTTGAGCTCAATGTTTAGTCTCTGTTGACTTGACTTGACTGGTTATCTGACGTTCCAGAACCAAAAGATTCAAATTTTCCAACCCTGTTGTCTGAAAGGTCATTGAACAACGTTAGTGGTGTTTCTTGTTCTGAATTTTAAACTTTTGATCTTAATTGTTTCTGAAGTTCTCTCGCATGCCATTTATCAATTCCACATCGTCCGCCATCCCGCGCCACAATCTGAACTGACGAGATAATTTATGCCTGACAAAAATCTGTGGGTGGTTATCTGATTGGCTAAGACTAATGAAAGAATCCTCACACGTACAGCCCTGCCTTTGAGGGAGGAGCGTGGGCTCCTTTCCCTGAACAGTGGCACAGTGGTAATCGAGCCTAGAGGCATATTTACAGATTCAAAGGTCAGATGACCTGAGTTCACAATGTCGATCTTCCTTCATAGTTTCTCCTTGGTTTTGAAAACATAACTGTTCTTGCGGATCAGAAAAATCGGCAAGCAGTGCGGGTGGTGGGTCAGAGTTTCTTTAATTATTAGTGTACAAGTGAGATGCTTGAGGAAAGACATCAGAGGGGGAGTGTTTTTGGTGCAGCTGAATGTAAACAAAGAAGAAATTCAGGTTATGACTAAACTTCCAGGCAGGAGGTGGGGGAGGAGGGGGAGTTGAAACTGAAAAGTCTTCTTTGGGGATCATTTCCAACCGACTTTTAGATGTGCGACATGTGACACTTGAGCACTCTCTGAATCTGAAAAAAGTTGAAATCTTTGAGTTATATCTTTCTTTTCTGATATACTTCAAGTTACCCACACAGATTCTTCCATAGTCACAGTAAACACGCAGAAAAACATGTTACAAAAGCTAAGGAAGCACAAGAATAAAGCAGCTACAATGAAGCTCGGTAGGAGCGTGTAATGCCTGACACTATTTGTATTGATATATCCAGGCCAGGCGTGCCGGAGAGTAACTGTTGACCAAACTAGTTGTCATCAGCTGTCATAGGAAAGTTTCAAAATTTACGGCTCTTGTAAGGTCTATGCACAGTGGAACAGAATGTCCAAACAAGGCAGTCTGCAAAAAATTAGCTCGATCCTGCAAAAAATAAGAATCGGCCCAAAATGCTATATATGCCCTTTTTGCACGAAAGCCTTCAATTGTAATCATTCCCTGAAGAAGTCTCAGAGATGAAACGCGTCGGAAATAAACGAAAAGCTTTCAACTACAAGAAGTCTTCCTTTGTGCTGCTCACTAGTCTTCGTTAAAAAATTAAAAAATTCCAATAACCTTCCAAGCAGATGGGCTTAGAGGGTAGATCATAGATCATAGAGTGTAGAGCGTAGATCGAAGAGAAGCTGATAGAATGTAGAGAGTAGAGCGTAGATGGGCTTAGAGGGTAGATGGTAAGATCTTAGAGTGTGGATGAAGAGAGTAGCTGGTGGAACGTAGAGAGTAGAGCATAGATGGGTTTAAAGGGTAGATGGTAGATCGTAGAGCACAGATTGAAGAGAGTAGCTGGTAGAACCTAGAGAGTAGACTGTAGATGGTAGAACTGACGTTGAGCATAGAGCATAGAGGGTAAACTCAATACAGAATTGTACCTTAAAAGGATTATTAAAATACTGTAAACCGTAATATTAATTAACACTTTAATATATATGAGATAATAAAGAAAGCCAATAAATTACAATTACAAAAATTACAGCATCACAGATGATCAAGAAACTCGCACTCGCAACCCAATAGTTTTTTATCACTCTACTGGTTTTTTAAGCCTCTAAGCTAGTGTAGAGAGTAGTAAAAAATTCTTGAAGTGATAAACTCGTAAATAAGGGGTGACAAATGGTCCTTCAAAAACTCTGGGTCTCGCAAACTTTTAGTCAAATTTCATGGGTCTCGCAGTCTTATTTTTTTAGCAGTTATGTGCAACTCGCAGTCTCGATTTTTATATGAAGCTGTCTTGGAGTCTCGATTTTTCACAAGGCTAAGGGTCTCCAAGTCCTGATTCCTTCATTTACCTCTTTTTATTAATGACTTCTTTTCGTCACTTGATATTGAATTTCAATGAAGCA